AGGTAATCGGATTGACTTGCGCGTTGAAGGAGCTTTACTTCCGGTGAAACTTTCGCTCTTGACGTCTTGACATTCAATGCAGTCTTGCGCCGTCTCATAATATGAATCATTTACTTGGCGTTTTTATTGACAGTACAGACAGACTGATTGCTACCACACCGAACAATACCACTTCTACTTATTCGAATAATTTGAGATCAATTTGATTGTCTTGCCGCAGATTTTCAGCTCTTTCCTTTTATCCAATAGACAATGTAATTAGACGAGAGGAAGGTTGTGTGACATATCACCAAACATGGCGACATTTGAAGCAATCAATTTAACGATAATAAATTCTGCGCTTTTACTGTCGGCAATGTCATTTATTTACGCAAAGATATAATTTAAGATTACACCGATTATTCGTGTATAATACGCACCCCCTACTTTAGGCCTAAAAATAAAGGTGAGTATGTTTTTAATGTTGTTCACTCAATTCAAGGCCTAAGACCAACACAAGGTAGAGGGTTACCGAATGTAGTTGTGGAACGGTTGACACGAGATATGAAGATGTTAAGAGTATAATTATCCGGGAAGAATCATCTCGGGAGCAGTTATTGGGAAATAGCTGTCTGAGTGTCACTAGAGGAATATGAAGGAGATGAAAATGGTTTACTCCTGTATATATTGTATGTCGGGTTTTTTGATGCAAAGGTCTGAACTCTGCGCAAAAGGGTTGACAGTGTTGTGGGACACCAGAAACCGCTTCTCACCCCTGTCAAACGGAGAAAAATGGCGTGGTTTGGGGCATTACAAGGCATGACAGCCTGTGCATGACCATCATCGTTGAAGGTGGACGTAGAAGACGCCAACGCAAAAACTGGTTAGACAATCTCAAACAATGGATAGGTATGACTGTACCAGAATTGCAGATGGCTGCCATTGATAGACCGTTGTGGAAAAGAGTGTGGCTTCTGTATTCAGATCCACCCTACGATTACAAAAGTCAAGGGGATGGTGTGAATGAGGTATTACTACTTTTATGAAATAGCCATCATTCGTTGGTCTTCTTGTTTTCTAAATCGACCTTATATACCCGTAACGTAAACACAGTAATTTATGAGACAGAGAGATAGACACTGACACAGAGAGACCAAGACAGAGAGACCGGGTCACAGAAACTGAGAGACCAAGACAGATAGATTGAGAAAGACACACTATGAGACCGAGGCAGAGAAACCGACAACACAGACAGTGAAAGACCAAAACAGTGAGACCAAGTCACAGACACTGAGAGACCGAGACAGAGAGACTGAGACACAGACACTGAGAGACTGAGAGACCGAGACAGAGAGACTGAGGCAGATAGACCGAGACACGGTCACTGAGAGACTGAGAGACCAAGACAGAGAGACTGAGGCAGATAGACCGAGACACGGTCACTGAGAGACTGAGAGACCAAGACAGAGAGAGCAAGACACAGACAATGAGAGACTGAGTCAGAAACACCAAGACATTGAGAGACCGTGACGGAGAAACTCGGCCTCAGACATTGAGATGCTGAGACAGAGAGAAAGAGAGACCGAAGCAGAGAGACCAAGACACAGACACTGAGCTAACAAGAAAGTGAGAGAGAGAGAGAGAGAGACACACACACACACAAACACTGACAGACCGTGACACAGGCACAAAGAGAGACTGGGACAGAGAGACCTGAGTAACATACACTGAGAGACCGAGACACAGTTACTGAGAGAATGAGACAGAGAGACGGAGAGACAGACTTTGAAAGATCGAGACACAGACACTAACAGACTAAGACGCAGACACCGGGAAACCAAAACAGTGACATTGAGGGACCGAGACAAAGAGACCGAGACACAGATATTGAGAAACAGAGACAGAGAGACCGAGACGCAGACACTGAGAGACCAAAACAGAGGCCGAGACACAGACAGTGAGGGACTGAAACACAGACACGGATAGACTGAGATACCCGAGACATATTTACTGAGATACAGAGACAGAGAGACGGAGACACAGACACTGAGAGACCAAGACAGAGAGACTGAAAATCAGACAGAGACAGATAGACAGAGAGACAGAGACAGAGAGACAAAGACAGAGAAACTGAAAAAGAGAGACCGAACCACAGACACTGAGAGACCAAGACACAGGAACTGAGAGACTGAGAGACATAGAGACAAACACAGAGAGAGACAGCGACAAAGACAGAGAGACTGAAACATAGAGACCGAACCACAGACACCGAGTGACCAGGACACAGGCACTGAGAGGCAGACAGTGAGACCTGAGACACATGCACTGAGAGACGGCGACAGAGAGACTGAGACACGTACACTGAGAGACCGAGACAGAGAGACCGAGAAACAGGGAGATTGAGACAGAGACCAAGACACAGAAACTGAGAGACTAAGACAGTACAGAGACACGAAGACAAAGACAGACACAGAAACTGAGAGACTAAGACAGAGGACAAAGACGAGACAGAGTGACTGAGAGACAGAGGTGATTGAGACACGTACACTGAGAGACTAAGACGAGACAGAGAGACAGAGAAACAGGGAGATTGAGACAGAGACCAAGACACAGAAACTGAGACCAGAGACTAAGACAGAGAGACACGAAGACAAAGACAGAGTGACCGAGACACAGAGACCGAGACAGATTGAGACAGAGACCAAGACACAGACTGAGGAGACTAAGACAGAGAGAGACACAAAGACAGAGTGACGAGAGAGACCGAGACAGTGAGAGAGACCGAGAAACAGGAGGGAGATTGAGACAGAGACCAAGACACAGAAACTGAGAGACTAAGACAGAGAGACACGAAGACAAAGACAGAGGACCAGAGGAGACAGAGAAACAGGGAGATTGACTAAGACAGAGAGACAGAGACCGAGACAGAGTGACCGAGACAGACACGTACACTGAGAGACCGAGACAGAGACCGAGACAGGGAGATTGAGACAGAGACCAAGACACAGAAACTGAGAGACTAAGACTGAGAGAGACCGAGACAACGAGACTCACTGAGAGAGAGACAGAGAAAACAGGGAGATTGAGACAGAGACCAAGACACAGAAACTGAGAGACTAAGACAGAGAGACACGAAGACAAAGACAGAGTGACCGAGACAGAGACCGGACCGAGACAGAGACAGAGAGACCGAGACAGATTGAGACCGAGACACGTACACTGACAGAGACCGAGACAGAGAGACTGAGAAACAGGGAGATTGAGACAGAGACCAAGACACAGAAACTGAGAGACTAAGACAGAGAGACACGAAGACAAAGACAGAGTGACCGAGACAGAGTGACCGAGACAGAGTGACCGAGACACGTACACTGAGAGACCGAGACAGAGAGACCGAGAAACAGGGAGATTGAGACAGAGACCAAGACACAGAAACTGAGAGACTAAGACAGAGAGACACGAAGACAAAGACAGAGTGACCGAGACAGAGTGACCGAGACAGAGTGACCGAGACAGAGTGACCGAGACACGTACACTGAGAGACCGAGACAGAGAGACCGAGAAACAGGGAGATTGAGACAGAGACCAAGACACAGAAACTGAGAGACTAAGACAGAGAGACACGAAGACAAAGACAGAGTGACCGAGACAGAGTGACCGAGACAGAGTGACCGAGACATAGATACCGACAACGAGCAACCAAGACACAGACACCGAGAGAGTGAGACAGAATTATCGAGACACCGAGTCCAAGACAAAGAAACCAAGACACAGACACCGACACAGTGGCATAGACCCGAGAGACAGACATCGACTCACCAATAGACACAGATATAGAAATACAGATAGAAATAGACAGATACAAATGGAAATAGATAGATACAGATAGAAATAGATATATACAGAGGCAATACAGATAGAAATAGATAGATATAGAGGCAATAGATACATATAGAAATAGATACATACAGAGGCAAAAGATAGATACAGATAGAAATAGATACAGATAGACATAGACAGATACGGATAGAAATACATAGATACAAATACAAATAGATAGATACAGATAGAAATAGATAGATATAGAGGCAATAGATACATATAGAATTAGATAGATAGATACAGAGGCAATAGTTACATATAGAAATAGATATATACAGAGGCAATAGATACATATAGAAATAGATATATACAGAGGCAATAGATACATATAGAAATAGATATATACAGAGGCTATAGTTACATATAGAAATAGATATATACAGAGGCAATAGATACATAGAGAAATAGATAGATACAGAGGCAATAGATGCAGATAGAAATAGATGGATACAGATAGAAATAAATATACAGAAAGAAATAGATACATATAGAAATATATACATACAGATAGACATAGACAGATACGGTAGAAATAGATAGACACAAGTAGAAATAGATAGATACAGATAGAAATAGATATATACAGAGGCAAGAGATACATATAGAAATAGATAGATACAGAGGCAGTAGATAGATACAGATAGAAATAGATAGATACGAATAGAAATAGATAGATACAGATAGACATAGATATATACAGAGGCAATAGATAGATAGAGATAGAAATAGATAGATATAGAGGCAATAGATACATATAGAAATAGATACATAGAAATAGATACAGATAGACATAGACAGAGGCAAAAGATACAGATAGAAATAAATATATACAGAGGCAATAGATGCAGATAGAAATAGATGAATACAGATAGAAATAAATAGATACAGAAAGAAATAGATACATATAGAAATAGATACATACAGATAGACATAGACAGATACAGAAATAGACATAGAGTAGAAATAGATAGAAATAGATAGAAATATCAATACAGATAGAAATAGATACAGAGGCAATAGATACATATAGAAATAGATCAATACAGATAGAAATAGATACAGAGGCAATAGATACATATAGAAATAGATCAATACAGATAGAAATAGATACAGAGGCAATAGATACATATAGAAATAGATCAATACAGATAGAAATAGATAGATGCAGAGGCAATAGATAGATACAGATAGAAATAGATAAATACATATAGAAATAGATCGATACGGATAGAAATAGATAGATACAGATAGACATAGACAGATACGGATTGAAATAGATAGATACGAATAGAAATAGATAGATACAGATAGACATAGATATATACAGAGGCAATAGATAGATAGAGATAGAAATAGATAGATATAAACGCAATAGATACATATAGAAATAGATACATAGAAATAGATACAGATAGACATAGACAGAGGCAAAAGATACAGATAGAAATTGATATATGATAGAAATAGATAGATACAGATAGAAATTGATATATGCAGAGGCAATGGTTACATATAGAAATGGATAGATACAGAGGCAATAGATGCAGATAGAAATAGATATATACAGAGGCAATAGATACATAGAGAAATAGATATATACAGAGGCAATAGATGCAGATAGAAATAGATGGATACAGATAGAAATAAATAGATACAGAAAGAAATAGATACATATAGAAATAGATACATACAGATAGACATAGACAGATACGGTAGAAATAGATAGATACAAGTAGAAATAGATCGATACAGATAGAAATAGATATATACAGAGGCAATAGATACAGATAGAAATAGATCGATACAAATAGAAATAGATAGATACAGATAGACATAGATATATACAGAGGCAATAGATAGATACAGATAGAAATAGATATATACAGAGGCAATAGATGCAGATAGAAATAGATAGATACAGATAGAAATAAATAGATACATATAGAAATAGATACATACAGATAGACATGGACAGATACGGTTGAAATAGATAGATACAAATAGATACATATAGAAATAGATAAATACAGAGGCAAAAGATAGATACAGATAGAAATAGATAGATACAGATAGACATAGACAGATACGGATAGAATTAGATAGATACAAATAGAAATAGATAGATACAGATAGAAATAGATATAGACAGAGGCAAGAGATACACATAGAATTAGATAGATACAAAGGCAATAGATAGATACAGATAGAAATAGATAAATACAGATAGAAATTGATAGAGACTGGAAAGTACTTCCGTCGTCATTATGATCAGTAGTTTTTAACATAGTTTTATAGAAACTGAGATTAATTTAAAATACAGTATCTATAATCAGGCTGCAAATGACAAAGTCTGTTCATTCGATATTGACAGTTAGATTTTCGATAGCTCCTTCAAAACCTTTTTTTCCGAATGCCACAAATAGTATCCCTATTTTATGCCGAGTCGTTAACAGCGTAAATTGAACACCGAGACACTCCACCCAAGTTCCTCGTCTTTACTGACCTTCGTTGCTGCAGATAAACGACTATACATGACGCTTGTCTTCATCGCCAGACACTTTTAGTCTTAATTAAACGGCAAATGTCCTTCAGTAATCTTATTACTGTAATCTTAGTGACGGACAATTGGCAGGAAATTAATTTCGTCCGTCACACAAGATTACCAATAACCGGGTTTCATTATATGTTATCGTCTTTTATTTTAATTCCACATCCTTCTGTTCTCTTTCTTTTTGATCTTTCATTCTATCGGTCACTTTTTAAGCTACTTCAAATTTTATACATTCTTGCTTCTCTATTCGTTCTTCTTCGTTTCGCTTTATTTGACTCTGATTCCTAATTTTGTAAAAACATTAATCCTCACGGCATCTATCCATCTCAACTTTTTAAGCTTCTCTTCTGTTTAGTAATTTTATTCCATTTCTCCCTTTACTGAAACTTCCTCGCGTTTACTTTAGGGAAAGATTCATTTCTTTATTTTCTTTAACTTTTGATAAATTTCACCCAATAAAAGACCGGTCATTTGGGGTGGGTTTAATTTCTATATTTTCTTTACGTTTTTATCACTTGCATCCAATAAAAGGTTGTTTACATTGGGGTGGCTTTAATTTCTATATTTTCTTTACGTTTTTATCAGTTTCACCCAATTCAAAACCGTTTACGTTGATGTGAGTTTAATTTCTATATTTTCTTTACGTTTTTATCACTTTCACACAATACAAGAGAGTTTACTGTGGGGTGGGTTTATTTTCTATATTTCTTTTATGATTTTCTCACTTCTACCGAACACCACACCATTTACTTTCGGGTGGCTTTAATTTTTATATTTTCTTTACATTCTATCAATTTCACCCAATACAAGACCGTTTACTTTGGGGTGGGTTTAATTTCTATATTTTTTTGCGTTTTCATCAGTTTCACCCATTACATTACCGTTGACATTGGGGTGGGTTTAATTTCTAAATTTTCTTTACGCTTTGACCACTTTCAACCAATACAACGCCATGTATATGTTCTTTACGTTTTTTATCACTTTCGCAATCAAAGCTGTTTACATTAGGGTGGGTCTAATTTCATTGGGGTGGGTATAATTTCTATATTTTCTTTACATTTTTATCACTTGCACCCAATACAACGCCATTTACTTTGGGGTGGCATATATTACTATATATTCTATATGTTTTTATCACTTTCACCCAGTACAAGACCGTTTACTTTGCGGTGGGTTTAATTTCTATATTTTCCTTTACGTTTCTAACACTTTCACCCAATACAACGCCGTTCCCATTGGGGTGGATTTAATTTCTATATTTTCCTTTACGTTTTTAACATTTTCACCCAATACAAGACCCTTTACATTAGGCTGAGTATAATTTCTATATTTTCTTTCAATACAACGCTGTTCACTTTGGGGTGGGTTAATTTGTATATTTTCTTTATGTTTTTATCAGTTTCACCCAATAAAAGTCCGTTTATATTGGAGTGGGTATAATTTCTATATTTTCATTACGTTTTATCACTTGCACCCAATACAACGCCGTTTTCTTTGAGGTGGGTTAATTTGTATATTTTTTTTACGTTGTCATCAGTTTCACTCAATACAAGACCGTTTACATTGGGGTGGGTCTAATTTACTATATATTCTTTATGTTTTTATCACTTTCACCGAATACAAGACCGTTTAAATTAGGGTGGGTTTAATTTCTATATTTTCCTTTACGTTTCTAACACTTTCACCCAATACAACGCCGTTTACATTGGGGTAGGTTTTATTTCTGTATTTTTTTTTACGTTTTTATCACTTTCATCCAATACAAGACCGTTTACTTTGGGGTGGCTTTAATTTCTATATTTTCTTTATTTTTTTACCACTTACACACAACACAACGCCATTTATTTGGGGTTGGTATAATTTCTATATTTCCTTTACATTTTTATCACTTGCACACAATACAACGCCGTTTACTTTGGTGTGGGTTTCATTTCTATATTTCCTCAAAGTTTTTATCACTTTCACCCACTATAAGACCATTTTCTTTGCGGTCGGTTTAATTTCTATATTTTCTTTACCTTTTTATCACTTTCACCCAATACAACGCCGTTTACTTTGGTGTGGGGTAAATTTATATATTTTCTTTGCGGTTATATCCCTTTCACCCAATACAAAGCCGTTTACATTGGGGGGGGGTCTAATTTCTATATTTTTTTTACGTTTTTATAACTTTCACCCAAAACAAGACCGTTTACATTAGGGTGGGTATAATTTCTATATTTTCTTAACATTTTTATCAATTGCACCCAATACAACCCCGTTTACTTTGGGGTAGGTTAATTTGTATATTTCCCTTAAGTTTTTATCATTTTCACCCAATACAAGACCGTTTAAATTGGGGTGGGTATAATTTCTATATTTTTTTTACGTTTTATCACTTTCACCCAGTTCAAGATCGTTTGCTTTGCGGTGGATTTAATTTCTATATTTTCTTTACGTTTTTGTAACTTTCACCCAATACAACGCCGTTTATTTTGGGGTGGGGTTAATTTCTATATTTTCTTTACGTTTTTGTCAGTTTCACCCAATACAACGCCGTTTGCTTTGGGGTCGTTTTAATTACTATATTTTCTTTATGTTTTTATCAATTTCACCCAATACAACACCGTTTAATTGGGTTGGGTTTAATTTCTATATTCTCTTTACGTTTTTGTCACTTGCACCCAATGCAACGACGTTTACTTTGGGGTGGGTTTAATTTGTATATTTTCTTTACGTTTTTATCAGTTTCACCCAATACAGGTCTGTTTACATTAGGGTGGGTATAATTTCTATATTTTCTTTACGTTTTTAACACTTTCAACAAATACAATGCTATTTACGTTAGGGTGGGTTTAATTTCTATATTTCCTGTATGTTTTTACCACTTTCAAACAATACATCGCAGTTTATATTGGGGTAGGTTTCATGTCTATATTTTTTTTACGTTTTTATCACTTTCACCCAATACAAATCCGTTTACTTTGGGGTGGGTTTAATTTCTATATTTTCCTTTACGTTTTTAATACTTTCACCAAATACAACGCCGTTTACATTATGGTGGGTATAATTTCTATATTTTCTTTACGTTTTTAATACTTTCAACCATTACAACGCCATTTACTTTGGGGTCGGTTTCATTTCTATATTTTTTTTTACTTTTTTATCACTTTCACCCAGTACAACGCCGTTTGTTTTGGGGTCGATTTAATTACTATATTTTCTTTACGTTTTTATCAGTTTCACCCAATGCTACGCCGTTTATTTGGGGTGGGTTAAATTTCTATATGTTCTTTACGTTTTTATCCCTTTCACCCAATACAAGACCGTTTACATTGGGGTGGGTATAATTTCTATATTTTCATTTCGTTTTTATCAGATTCACCTAATACGACGCCGTTTATATGGGGTTGGTTTAATTTCTATATTTTTGTTACCTTTTTATCACTTTCACCCAATACAAGACCGTTTATATTGGGGTGGGTATAATTTCTATATTAACTTTAACTTTTTTATCACTTGCACCCAATACAACGCCGTTTACTTTGGGGTGGGTTTAATTTGTATATTTTCTTTACGTTTTTAACACTTTCATCCAATACAATGCCATTTAATTTGGGGTGGGTTTAATTTGAATATTTTTTGCTACGTTTTTATCACTTTCACCCAGTACCAGACAGTTTACATTAGTGTGGGTCTAATTTTTTTTTTTTTACGTTTTTATCCGTTTCCCCCTATACAGCGCCGTTCACTTTGGGTTGGGTTTAATTTCTATATGTTCTTTACGTTTTCATCCCTTTCACCCAATACAAGACCATTTACATTGGGGTGGGTATAATTTCTATATTTTCCTAACGTTTTTTTCAGTTTTGCCCAATACAACGCCGTTTACCTTTGGGTGGGTTTAATTTCTATATTTCCTGTAAATTTTTACCAATTTCAAACAATACATCGCAGTTTACATAGGGGTGGGTTTCATTTCTATTTTTTTTTTTTTACGTTTTTATCAGTTTCATCCAATACAACGCCGTTTTCTTTGAGGTCGGTTTCATTTCTATATTTTCTTTAAGTTTTTATAAGATTCACCCAATACAAAGTCGTTTACATTAAGATGGGTTTAATTTCTATATTATTTTTACGTTTTTATTAGTTTCACCCAATACAAGACCGTTTACACTGGGGTGAGTTTAATTTCTATATTTTCTTTACGTTTTTACCAGTTTCACCCAATACAACGCCGTTTACTTTGGGGTGGGTTTAATTTCTATATTGTTTCACGTTTTTATCGCTTTCACCCAATACAATACTGTTTACATTAGTGCGGTTTAATTTCTATATTTCTTTATGTTTTTATCATTTTCACTAAATACACCACCGTTCACTTTCGGGGGGGGGGGGTAATTTCTATATATTCTTTACGTTTTTATCACTTGCACCCAATACAACGCCGTGTACTTTAGGGTCGTTTTAATTTCTATATTTTCTTTATGTTTCTATCAGTTCACCCAATAGAAGACCGTTTCCTTTGGGGTGGGTTTAATTTCCATATTTTCTTTCCAAATACTCGACCGTTTAATTTGGGGTGGGTATAATTTCTATATTTTCTTTATGTTTTTATCACTTTCACCCAATACAACGCCCTTCACATTGTCGTTGGTTTAATTTCTATATTTTCCTAAAATTTTTATCAGTTTAACCAAATACAACGCTGTTTACTTTGGGCTGGGTTTAATTTCTATATATTTTTTACGTTTT